CCGCTGCGTCCCCAGCCCTGCCCCGGGGCGGACCCGAAGGAAGGTCAGGGCTGGACGCCCCACCCCTCCCGGTCCCATCGCCGTGGCTGCTCTGTGGGTGGCTCACTATCAACGTTGACGACTTCAGCCACGTGCACCTCCATGGCGGCCTCGCCGGTCCCGGGGGAGAAGATCAGCATCCAGGCGGGAGAGACCGCTACGGCCGGGGACAGGGACCTGCTGGGCAGCGACTGCCCCGAGTGGGACAAGCCCGTCCCGCGCTCCTGGAGGCACAAGTGCGCCTCGTATGTGCTGGCCCTGCGCCCCTGGAGCTTCAGCGCCTCGCTCACCCCGGTGGCCCTGGGCAGTGCCCTGGCCTACAGATCCCAGGGCGTCCTGGACCCCAGGCTGTTGGTGGGCTGTGCCGTGGCGGTGCTGGCGGTGCACGGGGCTGGCAACTTGGTCAACACTTACTATGACTTTTCCAAGGGCATTGACCACAAAAAGAGCGACGACCGGACCCTGGTGGACCGGATCTTGGAGCCCCAGGATGTGGTCCGGTTTGGAGTCTTCCTCTACACCCTGGGCTGTGTCTGTGCCGCTTGCCTCTACTACCTGTCCGCTCTGAAACTGGAGCACTTGGCTCTCATCTACTTCGGAGGCCTGTCTGGCTCCTTTCTCTACACGGGAGGTAAGGACTGGCCCGACTCCTGTGCTGGCGGTCTTCGTTGCATGGACTCCAAACTGCTGCTTCGGGTGGGAGTTAGGACAGGAGTGGTATCAAAAGTTCTCAGGCCACTTATGTGAAATCTATAGTGTGCGGGTTATGTGGGTTATTTTGAAAATAAGAGTGGGTTGAGAAGATCCTGGCTTGGCTTATGGATGTTAGAAATTTATATATGTATATATATATATGTCATTGCCATATATATGGAAACTTTTTGTATCTAATTTCTTTTTGTTGGCCCTATCTTATAATGCCACAGTTACAAATTTTAGTGGAATTAACTTTGAAGCGCTCACAATTGGTACAGCTGATTAAGGTGGTGCTGGCCAGGGGGCTAAGTAAGCTCTGTTTATTGAGCATTTATTATGTGCCAGCACTGTTCCCTATGAACACAGCAGTCACAGATATCCCTGCTCCTGTGAAAGTTATTTTATAGATGATGAGGAGAGACAGAAAGCAAAACTAGTCAATTATAGTTAGGTCGGCCAATGTCCTGGTTGCTCAGGACTGAGAGGGTTCCCAGGATGTGGGACTTTGGGTGCTGAAACCAGGAAAGTTCCTGGTAGGTTAGGATGAGTTGGTACCCTGATGATAGCATATGAAAGATGATTAGTGCTACGGAGAGAAATAGTAAGTAGAGCCAGGAAGGGGGACACAGCAGACTATTTTAAGTAGTTTGATCAGGGAAAGCCTCATCAAAAAGGTAACGTGGGCAAAAATGGAAGGAGGTGAGAAGTGAGGGAGTTGGCTGAGCAGGGTGTCCCAAATCTTGGAATGGAAATTGCTAAAGGCATTAAGGCAGGAATGTTCCCGAAAAGTTCGAGGAGCAGCATGGAGAGCAGGGTGAGGGAGAAAGTGAAAGGAAGTGAAGTAAGGGAAGTACAGTGGGGCCTTGACTTACCAGTGTCCCAACTAAGGAGTTTTTGCTGATTTTTTGCATTGAGGTGATAGAGTAATTTGAGTTAACGAGCTCCTTAACGAGCTCCTTAACAAGCTTGGTCTTGAAACGAATTAAACTCGTAAGTCAAGGCCCCACTATATGTTTGGGGAGGTCAGGGAGGCACAAATATTAGGTAGGCCTTACTGTTTTAAAAGAATCACTCTGCCTAAATTATGGAGAATGGATAACGGGGAGCAAGCAAGGGTAGAAGCAGGGAGATGGAGGAGAAGGGGGCTGTTGACTAACCCAGGCAAGAGATGTTTGTTGGCTTGGATCAGGCTGGAAGTGGAGAGGGAAGAAGTAGTCAGGCAGGGAATCGTAATGTAAATAGCTGATATGCAGGATGGTCTTAGGCTACCCCTGTGAAAGGGTTGTTCGATGGGCAAAGGGGTCTTGACCCACAGGTTGAGAACCGCTGACGTAGTAGATCTCCAAGTGGAGATGTCAAGTGGATGTAAGAGCGAGTTCAGGGAGAGGTCTGAGCTGGAGATAAAGATATTTGGGGATCATTGGCACATAAAGTTGTACGACTGGGTGAGACCACCAGAGGAGAGAGTGTTGTTGATAGAGATGTGAGGGGGACCAGGACAGCCCTTAGGCACTCCGACATTATGAGGTGGGGAGAAGCCCTAGCCTGCGTGGCTCAGTGGACAGAGCGTCGGCCTGTGGACTGAAGGGTTGCAGGTTTGATTCTGGTCAAGGGCACATGCCTGGGTTGTGGGCTCAATTCCCAGTGGGGGGTGTGCAGGAGGCAGCTGATCAACGATTCTCTCATCATTGATGTTCCTATCTCTCTATCCTTCTCTCTTCCTCTCTGAAATCAATAAAAAATATTTTAAAAAAAGAGGTGGGGAGAAGAGAAGGAACAGGTAAAGGGAACTGTGATGGAGCATCTGGAGGAGAAAGAAGACCAAGAGAGTGGTGTCCAGGCGGTCACTTGTAAGAAGTTCAGTAAAGCGAACCAGTGGATGCTGTAACAGAGTGTGTCAGGGGGTAAGGAGGGAAAGGCCCTCTCTGTGAAGGCGACAATCTAAGACTTGAAGGATAAGGAGCCATCCTCGGGCAGAATTGGGGTCTGACTCAGGTGCTGAATCCGTCAAGACCGAAGGAACAGCAAACGCAAATGCACTGGCGTGGGAGACAGCTTGACATCTAGGATCCACTGAAAGGCCCATGCGTTTGAGAGGGAGAATGGAGATGTAGTTGGAGAGGTAGGAGGGGGCTGGGTCATGCTGGTCTACTGCTGGGGTCCAACCCCAGCAGGTCCAGGGGTCCCCAAAGGTGTGGACGGAGTCGGCGACAAAGGAATGACACGGAGACAGCGTTCAGTTGATCAGCAGCCTTGCCAGGATCTCTAGCCACAATCTCCAGCCAAGTTCTGTAGCCATGTTCTCTTGCTAGGTTCTCCAGCCAGGTTCGGTTTAGGTTCTCCAGCCAGGTTCGGTCGCCAGGTTCTGTAGCCGGGTTCTTCAGCCAGGTTCTGTCAAGGTT